ACCTCCCAGGGAAGAGAATGCTTCATTACTGCAACACTGTAAAACTAAGGCAAGTCAGCTCAGAGGGCAATGAATGACAGTGAAGTGCTAAGGAGGGAAAACTAAGAATCCAGAGAACCCTAATTTCCCATCTCTTATTGAGCTCCTTGGTAAGCATGAGAAATGTGGGGCAATTTACTTCAGATATTAAATTCTGCTTCTCACACAAAAACACAATCATCAACTTTTTTTTCATTCAAAAGGTACTTCATTAGGAAAAAACTTATCCCTGTTTTTGTGCCACATCATTTTTTATTTTTCAAAGCAATTTTGGAACTCTTTTTCCTTTTTTGGTACCAAATTTATTTATTTACTTATTTAGTTAGTTTTTTGAGACAGAGTCTGACTTTGTCACCCTTGGTAGAGGGCTCTGGTGTCATAGCTCACAGCAACCTCAAACTCTTGGGCTCAAGTGATCCTCTTGCCTTAGCCTCTCAAGTAGCTGGGACTACAGGCAGGCGCCCACCACAATGCCCAACTACTTTTTTTTTTTTGCTGTTTTTGGCTGGGGCTGGGTTTGAACCTGCCACCTCCAGCATATGGGACCAGCACCCTACCCTTTTGAGCCACAGGCCCTGCCCCCTAACTACTTTTTATATTTATCGGTAGAGACAGGGTCTCGCTTTGCTCAGGCTGGTCTCGAACTCCTGAGCTCAAGTGATCTACCTAACTCAACCTCCCAGAGTGCTAAGATTGCAGGCACGAGCCACCATGCCTGGCCTACTATAGTCACTTTCAAAGTACTCCCCTTGGCCATCTTGTGACCATACTGATAGTTAGCAATGAGGTATGTAGCACTTTTTCTAGGATGAGTTTGTGAACTTAATTAGCAGACCTTGTATAATGATAGCTCTGATGGCCATTTCAGAAAAAGAGTTCCAAGCCAGGGCGACTGAGTGAGATTACATCTCCAAAAAAGAAAGAAAGAAAGTTACTGTAGTGATATTCAACAATGAGCTACACAGCACTTTTTCTAGCATGAGTTCATGAACTTAATTGTCTGACCTTATAGACCACATTTTCTTTACTCACTCATCAATTAATGGGCATTTAGGTTGATTCCGTAAGTTTGGGATTGTAAACATTTTTTCCTTTTAAAAATAATGAAACGGAGATCATTTGAGCCCAGGAGTTCAAGGCTGCATTGTACTAAGATTGTGCCACTGCACTTCACCCTGGGAGATAGAGCAAGACCCTATCTCAAAAGAAAAATAGGAAAATTCAACACTGTTTTTTTTTTTTTTTGAGACAGAATCTCATTATGTTGCCCTTGGTAGAGTGCTGTGGCATCACAGCTCACAGCAACCTCAAACGCTTAAGTGATTCTCTTGCCTCAGCCTCCAGAGCAGCTGGGACTACTTAGGAGGCACTCACCACAATGCCTGGCTTTTTTTTTTTTTTTTGGTGTTTTTTTTTTTTTTTTTGGCTGGGGTCAGGTTTGAACCCACCACCTCTGGTATATGGTGCTAACGCCCTACTCCTTTGAGCCATAGGTGCCTCCCTGGCTATTTTTTTGTTGCAGTTGTCTTAGCTGGCCCAGGCTGGGTTTGAACCCTCCAACTTTGGTGTATGTGGCTGGCACCGTAACCACTGTGCTATGGGCATTGAGCCTCAAAATTGTTGTTAATGTCTACTACAAAAAGCTCTTGCTCTGGAAAGCCTTCCCTGACCTTCCCAACAGGAAGTTCTCCCACAGGAAATGACCTCCCCAACCAGGTTCCTCTCATGCCCACTAGGGCTGTAAAGTCCTCTTGATTGAAGGTTGACTTCCATGCCCATCCCCAGTTGTGGGTGGGAAGTGAGTAGCCAGCCTTCACCCCACCAGCAGCTGTCTATACCTGGCTTCTCTCTCTGCTATCACTTGTAGCTCCCTGGAAGTGTCCTGAGGTGGCCAAGCCTAAAACAAAGGATGCACATGGAAGGACCTAGACTGAGGGGGTCCTCCTCCCTGGGCAGCTGGACACCTGAGAGCATCTTTTCAACCCCAGGAGGTGTGGAAAGGAATTAGGACAGGCCATCAATGTACCCTGGCTTCTCCCGAACCAGCCTAGTGACTATTTCCTCCTTATGCCTCAGTTCCTTCACTGGTAAAATGAGAAGACTGGTTGAGGAGCATCCCCTAGGAGCCAGGGACAAGTCCTATGGAAATGAGTAAAGCAGAAGCTTTTTTACTCAAAGTTTTGGGGCTAATGGGTGGTAAGCTGCTTGCTGGACTTTAAGTCATGTATTCATTAACTGAGCACCTATTATGTTTGAGGCACTGGGGTTAGTTCAGAGAGCAAAGCAAGTAAAAGTCCTGCCCCCAGGAGCTCACTGTGTAACTCTGGTATTTGGGAGGCCTCCAAGCCTTTACCCACCAGGGCTGCTGGCTTTGGGCTAATGGAGCAGGCCCTGAGGGTGTAGAGAAGGACTGAGGTGTGCTCTCCCTCCAGCTTTGCCTCCTCCATGGGGTGACCTTGCCTCCCTGGAGATTAGTTTCCTCACTCTTTTGTGTCCCTTCCTCCCTAAACTCATGAAGCACCAACTCTCAACATGATAGTATTTGGAGGTGGGCCCTTTAGCAGGTAACTAGGTTTAGATGAGATCATGAGGTGGGATTAGTGGCCTTAGAAGACAACAAAGACAGACCACAGCTTTCTCTCTCTCTGCCATGTGAGGACACAGCTAGAATGCAGCCATCTGCAAGCCGGAAGGAGGGCACTCATCAGGAACCGAATCCATCAGCGCCTTGGTCTTGGACTTTCCAGCCAGCAGAACTATGAGAAGCTCTTATTTAAGCCGCTCAGCCTATAGTATCATGTCATAGCCTTGAGATGCCATGTAAGTGGGAGGTCAGGCGGGTAGCCCTGCCAGCTTGGGAAAGTGTCCATCTGCAGGGAGGGGAGCTTTGCACAGCCCTGCAGTTAAACATTACCTTCTCAGTGTCCTTCTCTCCCTGCCACTCCCAGCCACCCCCTCAAGAGATAAAGCCATAAATGCTGCCTTCTTTTGTCTTCCTCCAGGGCTGTGACCTCCTGGGAGGAGCCCTGCATGCTGACTGTCCCTTCTAAGTCCAGATCTGGGGCTGGGGGTTGGGGGCTGGAATGGGGATACTCGGGCCCTAGCTTCCCCACATGCACACACGTGCACACGGGTATTCTTTCTTAGTTACATCATGCATGAGGCTCCTGCAGGCCTCTCTCCTTGGAGCCCATGGACTGGCTTAATGAGTCCCAAAGGTGCCTGACTCAGGCCAGATACCCCAGGCCTCCTGGTTCCTGGGAAACAAAAATAATTGGGAGAAATAGAGGCAGCCTCACTGCATGGGGTGTCCTACATCAGCCTCTGCCCCTAAGCCCCTCAGAAGCAAGGAGGACAAGGCCCACCTTTCAGGCCCCATCCTGCCCACCTAGGCATTTTAAATTATGAGACTGCAGTGATTCTAGAATCCACAATATGATGCCACAAATCTCAGGAGGGGGAATGGATCATAGCCGGATAGTACTTCACAGTATCCAGAGAGCATTCAGCGCAACTCATTCTTTCCCATCTTCAAAACAACTCTGAAAAATAGATGGGATTTCTCTGTCACCGCCAGCATGCTTATCCGATCATGTCTGCAGTGTTTGCCTTCCTTGTCATCCCACATCATCAGCCTAAGCCCTCCAGACTCAGGCACAGCCCAAAAATGCACAGACCACTGGACCTGAAGCACTCACTGCATGCTGTTCTTGGACAGGAGCTGCTGGCTTCCCTGTCTGCTGATAGATGCCCATCCAAGCAACATTTCTCTGTAAGATATAACAACCATTCGAGTTTTGCCTAGGGCTTCAAGTTTTGCTAAGTTTTAATTATGAAACATTTCAGGTACACCCCAAAGTATAGATAATATCACAGAGAACTGCACTCACGTGGTTTAAGTAATTAAAACACTATAGACCAGCTGGAGTCCCTGTGTGTCCCTCTCAGTCTACCCCTTACTTCTCTTCACCATCATTCTCTGAATTTAGTGTTTCTCATTCTCATGCATATTTTTATCTTTTACTACATATTTGTGTATCCACATTATTAAACCTCATAGAAATGACAGCATATTGCTCAGATCTTACTGCAGCTTGCTCTTCTCACATAATCGGCTGTTTTGAACCTTACACTGCATCACATCTGTGAATGTTTGTTGAGGCCTTTTCAGTCTGCACCAGGCATGGTTTCAGTGACTTACCTGTCTTAACTCGTTTAATCTTCACAATGGAATTTATTTTCATCCCTATTCTATAGATTTGGAAACAGAGGCGCAGAAAGGTGAAATTATAAACCCAAGTCACATGGCTTGCAAGCTGGGCTCCTAACTACTACACATCAATCTCTGCTCTGTGGTTTGTTGTATGAAAACAGTAATTTACCTATCTGTTCTATTTTGCTTATTTTTACAGATGTGCCTCAACACTGGTCTCAGAGGGTTTGGGGGTGGTTATATTACCTTGCTTAGTTTCTACATCAAGTCCAGGAGTGGGTTTCTATACTATCTCCTTATGCCTTTTACAGACAAGGAAACTAAGGCTCAGAGAGGGTAAGTCACCTTCTCAAAGCTGCACAGCTCTAATGTGGGCTGTGAACCTAGGCTCCCCAATTCCAGAGCCCAGGGACTCTCTCATACCCTACATGCACCCTCAGTCCTTGCTGGCTTCTTATCTCAGCTCTGTCCCTGGTCACCTGCCCTCCCTCTCCTAGAACACCCTCCCCATACCTAGCCTTCAAACTTCCTTCTTCTCTACCCTTCACCATCCTCCTTCCAGAGAAGGGGCCCAACCGGAAAGCCAGTTCATGTTAGGAAATTCCAGCCACGTGAGCAACCCCGAGCCAGGGATTCTGGGCAGCCAGTGGCTTTAGGAGAAACTGAAACTTGGCTTTCTGGGGGCGGAGTGGTCATTGGGGATTTAAAGAGTCACCACTTCCGTAGGCTCCCAGAGGGCACTGAGAGGTCACAGCTGGCTGCAGAAGAATGAGGGACACCAGCACAGGTGGCTGAGCCTCTGCTCCCCCTGCCTCAGCCATGCACCTCTGCGGGGGAGATGGGCTGCTGACCGGGAAAGTGAGTACAGGGGACCAGGGGTGGGGATGAGAAGGGGAACATGCCCTGGGCCAGTGCCCAGGCAGTAAGGGGTGCAGTGGGGAGCTCCTGGTCTCTGCTCTGTCCCCACGTGCTATGTGATCAAGGGCTGCACACACCCCTCTCTGCATCTCACTTTCTTACCCTGAAGTTGGGGATTAGAACGAAGGTTTTCTAGCTCTCATGTTGCAGGTCCAGCCTCCAGGTTAGAACTTGGCATCTTGCCTGTTATCCCCTCACAGGAGCCTTCTCTTTCCTCCCCAAATTCCTTCCTCAGAGGCCCTGCCCCTGTCATAGGACCTGTAATCCCTGGGCCTCCCCCTGCTCGCCATAGGTCCTTCCTCAGCTGTTAGTCTCTTGGTCTTCCAGTGTCAAAAATGAGCCTGCTGTGGCCATGGAACCCTAGAAGCATGTGGCCAGGTGGGAGCTATGGCATACAGTCCTCCACCAGGGTAGCCAAAGTCTTACCTGAGGTTGTTACTCAAAATATACTGCCAGAGCAAGCTGGGAGGGGCTTGGGCTATGAGGTCCCAAATAGTCCCTCTTGCCCTGACTGTCTGGACTGAGTATCTGTTTGTTTGTTTGTTTTTTATAGAGACAGAGTCTCACTTTGTCACCCTTGGTAGAGTACCATGACATCATAGCTTATAGCAACCTCCAACTCTTGGGCTCTAAGCGATTCTCTTGCCTTAGTCTCCTTAGGAGTTGAGACTACAGGTTCCTGCCACATGCCTGGCTTTTTTTTTTTTTTTTTTAAGCAGGACCAGGCTAGGTTTGAACCCACCAGCCCTGGATTATGTGGCCGGCACCCTAACCACTGAGCTACGGGCACCCAGCCTGGACTGTGGGTATTTGAATTAAATATTTCACCTAAGTTTTATTGACTCCAGAGTAGAGGATGGTCAGTACTGTCAACCTTTGAGCCCACTCC